TGTAAAATTACACCTGTAGATAAATGAAAGTAGGTCAGTTATATACACTCTAAATACACATTACTGGACATAACAAGGGCGGATAATGATCAGGTTTTATAATATAACTATTCAACTTTTAAATAAAATCCCTTACCAACAACAACAAAACACAAACACACATTCTCTATAGGCAGATATTTGGAGTCTGAGCTACAAGGGATTATTACTTAGACATTTAATCAACTTTTCAGTAGAGACTTACAGAAAGACAAGAAAACTCATAAAAGCTATAAAAGTGTATTTATCTGGTATCTCTTACATTTAGTAAAAAAAAACTCTATATACACTTTTATATATTTCATTTACGATTGTAGATTTTAAAGAACGTGTTGTTTGCTTATAATACTCTGTTATTTTACTCAAGTAAAGCCTGTGTGTACTTGTGCAGCACTGTTCATTCACATACAGTACCTATTACACATATCGAGAGCAACAAACGACTGGTGTCAAAGTGTGCACCGAAAGCTGGTAAAAAAAAGAACCGCATGAGCCATTCACAGCAGAGTACTGGGCGGGACCAGGCGGAAGAGTTTTGAGATCTCTCGTGTCAAATAACCCCTGTTTTTGTTACTTTATACCCGCTTGAAAATCTATTATATCCACCTGAATGGTCCATAAGAAGACTGATATTCTTACATTGAGGTTTTAATAAAAAAATGATTTCAGAAACGCATTTAATTAATGTCTGACTCCCTTTAATCCTTGTGTTTTCTATTCAAACAACCTCCAACTGACGCGTCACACCTCCTTGTTATGTTTTGAGTCACAGTTTCACACTTTGACTGCGCACTGAAGGTAAGCTGATCTGCGGATTCAACCCTTGACATATAAACGTATATATAAACGTATATTATTGAACACTTTGATTCAGTCTCACTACATATGAAATATTTATATATGTAATACTACTCGTGCTGTAACGTTAACTCGAATGCTATCTAGTTTATAACTGTCTTTAACCCTGTATGCTAGCAAGGCCTCAGTTAGCTTAGCACACACTTCCTCATTGTTCGAGAAAACTTTATAAACCTTTAATGTAACGGTTGGTCGCGATGTTTTTGTGTTGCTGTACATTGTTACCACAACCGAAGCTGAATTAAAGTTAGTGATGTTATTATAAAAGTTGTTGTTTATCTTTAATCAATGACTGGATGTGTCAGAACTTTCTCCAATTAAACAAAGACAAAACTGAGGTAATGGTTTTTGGAGCCAAGGCAGAAGAGTTTCAACAGTCCCATTAAAACCGTTACTAAATCAGCCTACTATCACCTAAAGAACATATCTAGGATTAAAAGACTAATGTCACAGCAGGATTTGGAAATACTTGTCCATGCTTTTATCTTCAGTAGACTGGACTACTGCAATGGTGTCTTCATAGGTCTCACTAAAACATCTATTAGGAAGCTGCAGCTGATTCAGAACGCTGCTGCTCGAGTCCTCACTAACACTAAGAAAGTGGATCACATCACACCTGTTGGGGGGGTTGGCAGGGAAACGGGGTTCAGGGCGAGTGGCTGTACCCGTAGGATAGAAAAGGGGGAAGTGATGTCTGACTCAGAGGTCGCACTGTGGAGAAGAACGTGTTGCCCACATTCTGTTACTGAGTTTAGGCTAGTTAGCTAGCAGGTCTATTGTTTTGGGTGCAGTCACTTTTGCCTCCACTTGCTGTTCAAATAAATGTTGAAAGAACGTTGCATTTAACTTCAACATTTAATTTAAAAAAAATTATTCCCGGGGGAGCATGCCCCCGGACCCCCCTAGAGGAGGTGAGGTCCACCACCTGCCCACACCCCCTGTTAAATTGTCTCACCCACATTGAGGATGCTTCCTACGCCCATGTTTTATTCCATGTGTCAAGTCGGTCCAAATGTTATTGCATCAAAGATCTGTTAACATTAAAATCACTAAATATATGCTGTAACTATTTTTGCTGTAGGCCAGTGGTTCTCAACCTGTGGTACGCGTACCACTGGTGGTACGCCAGCTCCCGCTAGTGGTACGGGGAAGAATCTGAAATATTATTTAACCTTTTTTTATTTTACCAACATTGAGACAACATCTCATTTACAATGCTGACCTGTCCAAGAAGGCAGCAACAGTTCTTACACATAACCAGTGTTGTGCTAGTTACTGAAAACCAGTAACTAGTTACCATTACTAGTTACTTCATTTCAAAAGTAACTCCGTTACTTTACTAGTTACTTACACCAAAAAATTATGCATTACTGTGAAAAGTAACGTTTTAGTTACTTACAAACAGCTATAAGGATAGCCTTCATTTCAGTACTGTCATTGCATTGGAGAATAATACAATCTGTTGATCAACTTGACATGCATTATATGCAATCTGGATTGCATCGATATTTGCTGGCTTTGCATTTTTGTATATTCTTTCTCCAGGTAGTTGGAAAAAGTGTCCCGTCCCATATGCCGTGTGCCGCCCGGACATGCTATCATGCTAACTAGCTCTCTGAAAGCGGGTGACTCCACTGTAGCAATAGCCTGCATGTGTTCTACAACATACCATGCAATGGCTTTATCGACTTTTCCCTGGCTAGCAGTCCCTCGGTTAAAATCCAGCCGCTGTTGCTTAGGTGGAGGTGGAGTGGCGTCGGCTGAGTCTCTGTGGTCTTAGCTACTAGCTTCGTCCCAGCATGTTGTTTTTGCAGATGTTTTAAGAGATTTGAATGACTGGTTTGGGCAGTAGATAGGATCTTTGACCCGCCAGGACACAACTTACATTTAACAGAAACTTTCTTTTCTTTGTATTCGATAAAAGTGAAATAGTGAGAATATCTCCAGGTGGAGAAAATAGACTTGAGCTCCGCCGCCGCCATGATAGTCTTGTTGTAAACAACACAAACACGCCCACAGCGCGTCTCCGCATGTGACACAGGAAGTATCTAAGTACATTTACTCAAGTACTGTACTCTCATCTCTGTTCGCCTGGCTGTTGACTATATAAAAAAACTAACGGAGTAACGCACCATGTAGTAACGGTAACTGAGTTACTGAATTCAAAAAGTAATGCGTTAGAGTACTAGTTACTGCCAACAAATGTGTAACGTGTGTGTACTGTGTAACGGGTTAGTCCCAACACTGCACATAACACAGACGTAAAAAATACAGAAAACACAACTAAGTAAACAAAAGACGAAAAGCAGTCACTACATTGTGCACATTTAGGACAGTAAGAAAGGTACACTACTTATTACTGCAAGAGCAGCTGATGGGAAGGACCTCAGACAACTTCCATTTAAAAACAGGCTATAGGGACAAGTGCCATCAGTTTGAGGCTTGATTGAATAACATTCATTAAAAAATAAATCATACTATCAAAATACTACAACGAATGAAAATAAGCTTGAGATAATTGAAACTGTGGTTTAAATAAGTTCTAATTGGCTATTGAATAAAATTGAATCAAATTCAACCACCACATCAATCACATCACCAGGACCGCCTTTTTCCACCTCAAAAACATTGCCCGTCTCCGCCCATCACTCTCCTCCTCTGCTGCTGAGACCCTGATTCATGCATTCATCACTTCACGACTCGACTACTGCAATAGCATCCTCTACGAGTCTACGGCATACCATCCAACCTAATCAATAAACTCCAACATATCCAGAACTCTGCTGCCCGCCTCCTCACCCACACCCGCTCCCGAGACCACATCACTCCCGTCCTCCAGAACCTCCACTGGCTCCCCGTCCGTCAAATAATCAACTTCAAAGTCCTCCTGATTACTTACAAAGCCCTCAACAATCAGGCCCCCCCCTACCTCACAGACCTGCTGCACCACCACACCCCTTCCCGTTGCCGCCGCTCATCAGAAGCCAACCTCCTCTCCATCCCCACCCGCTGAGGGACTGGTCAGCTTTCTGTCCCCAGAGTCAGAACTAAACATGGAGAAGCAGCGTTCAGTTATTATGCTCCAAATATCTGGAACAAACTCCCAGAAACCTGCAGGTCCGCTGCAACTCTGACTACTTTTAAATCCAGCAAGAAGACTTTTCTTTTTGTCGCTGCTTTTAATTGAAACTGAGCCGTTGTGTTTCGTTTTTGGTTAATGAACATTTGGGGCTAGTAACCCCAGGGAATCAGAGTCTGGGGACTTTGTCCTGGCTGCTTTTCTCTGTGTGCTGCTCGGGACGTATGTGCCATACAAGCGTACACAGCTCATGTTCGGAGAAACCTTAAAGAAAGGCATCAGTAAAGTGGAACTTCTGTGTGAACTATTCACATCTGAAACTGCACTGTAACTTTTTATTTTTGTATGACTGTTTTTAAATGCCTTTTTCTGAATGTCTTTCATCTTTGTAAAGCACCCTGAATTGCCTTGTCTTTGAAAGGTGCTACTGTATATAAATAAACTTGCCTTGCCTTTATCGGACATTTTGTTTTATAAGGAGATCTTACGCAATGTGTTATTTCCGATTACAGGAAACTCTCTTGTCATATTTAATCAAACATTATTTAAGTTAACAAGAAATACACACATTTAATGTAATTCAGGATAATTTTAAAGCATTTAACTTTCATGTTCTGCTACTTCATAGGTCTACTGCCCTACATTTAGGGGGAATTAATGAACATGTAATCCACTTTACTAATTTAATGATATAATGATTAATCAACAAAAAATTAATTATGATAAAAACAATTAATTAATAAAAAGCAGTTCATAAATGAGCTGAAATTAGATGTATTTTCAACAGCTACTATATTAAAATTATTAACACATTAGTAGTATAGTATAATTAAATAGTGAAATACACATTATTCTGAAATGAAATCATTCTACATAATGAGTATTTAACACAGAGTCAAATATACATATTCTAATGGCTGTACATGTTGTGTTCAAGTTCTTCACTTCTAACAAAGAAAGGGGAAGAATTGTAGGAATAAAATAACTTCTGTCATTATTTCTTCTCTTACAGGCATCTCTTCTCGCTCGGTGTTCGTACATCTAACATCTTCCCCAGGTATTCACTTCTCCTGATTGTTATCAGGGAAACCTGAATGAGTTGTTTTTCTACTTTATCAAACAGGAATACTTATACATTCAATTTTGACTTTCAAAATGAAGATTTGGTCTTTAAAAAAACAAGAATTAGGAAATGGAATATAACAAGTAATTTATTAATCAACTTGTAATTCCCTCTTTAAATAATCCAAGTCCAGTTCACATTCAAAGGCTGGATTTTAATCTGTATATTTTGGTGCTATTTCATTTATTTGTTGATTAAATAAATAAAGAATGTTCACTATTAAAAACAAGTGATAGAAGAATATTCAATGATAGGCCAAACACCTAAAAGGCTCATTGAGGGTCTCTTTAGGTACAAATATATATAAGCTCCTAACATTTCTCTCTGTCAGTAAACGCAGATCCAATCCTGAGAAGATAAGAGCAGCTTCTCCTGCACCGAGCTGTGAGTCCATGAAGAGTCTGAATACTTCTTCAATACATTTTGAAAATTGACTGGCAAGATTTGTCTTTTTATTTTATTCTGTAGTTCTTTGACCATGGGTGTATTCAAGGAGAAGCTTAAGCATTGGTTTGAGCCACAAAAGAGGTGAGATGAAGATTTCTTTATGTTCATGTCAGATCCAGCTGTTTGACTGACTTACTGGGTTCATTCTCTGGAATGCCATTTAAGCCAAAATTATATAAATACATAAATAAATAAATATATATATATAAAAATGCCTATGAAATAAATTCTGAAATAAATAAATGAGGCAATAAATATGTATACATGTACATTTAAATACACATTTATTTATTACAAGAGACTTTTATTTCATAATTACACATTTATTTATTTCAAGAGACTCGTATTTCATAATGACATTTATTTATTTCAAGAGACTCGTATTTCATGAGACATTTCCATTCCTTATATGCAAATGAACGGGGCGTGGTTAGCTCACAGGTCCAGAGACCCAGACCAAAGCAACAGCACCACACTGACTACTCGAGAAGAGGAAGAAAATGGAGGAGAAGGACTATAAGGCAAACTACTAAATTCTCAGAGTCAGACACATGGTCAGACATCGCATGTAATCTGATACTCTAAATTTCACCCGCCAGAAATGTTCGCTTCTTCTTCTTCGGTGTAAATTGTCCGTTGGCAAACCAGTTGACTTCTTCTTCTCTCGGTTTTTTGGCAGATTGCAAACAACTTTAAGGTGCATACCGCCACCTACTGAGTGGTGGGCCGTCAGGGCCAGCAAGGCCTTCTCTGCTGGCCTAAACATCATCAGAATATACATTTAATTTTGATATATTTTTTCCACAAATATGTATTAAATTATTCCCCATAGTCTATTCTTTTCATTTCATAGCTTTCCTCTTGGTTGCGCTGCTTCCAGCCTCAGAACAAGATTTGGAGGGCTGGCCTTTATGTTAGAGCTTTTATCCAATCATATTTCAGCCATAATGTGTTGCCAGGGTCCAAGAAATCTGCCCTTAGGCCTTCAGAATCAACAGTGCGGGCGCCTGTAGCTTAAAGTGAACGGAAACAAAAACTGTGGCGTTAACCAATCAGATTTTGAGTTGGCGACAACGGGCCAGCTAGCAGGCGTACGATGACGTCAGCACGTGCACGTCTTTTGATTGGATACGCACTATTGAGAGGCAGAGCTATGTAGAGCTAGCAAACTGAACTTGAATTTGAACGAGCTAATTTGTGTAGATTTCTACAAGCTGTTTTTTTTAAACCCACAATGGCTGAAGGAGGAGAAGAGATCGATTTGGTCGCAGATATAATTACAACGCCATTTTCAAGACGAACTTTTCAAGAAAAGCTAGACATTGTGAGAAGAGAACGGCCAACCCCGACGCTAGCGAGCCTATCACAGCGGGGAAAAGGGTTTGTCCGCCACTTTCAAATCACTAACTACGAGCGGTACCCCTGGCTCACAGCCTCCGAGAGGCACTGCAAATTGTACTGCTGGGAATGCCTGCTATTTGCAAATGATCGATTTGGTGTTTGGAGCCACACTGGATTTGGCAAACTTGAGTTGTCTAACCAAGGCAGCAACGAGACACCAAAGCACGGCTGGGCACTTACAAGCAATGGTGCTTTTGAAAACCTTTGGGGACACCCGAGTGGATCTACAGCTCAACGAACAAGTGCGACGGGAAACGGAGCTCCACAACGAAAGGGTGAACAAAAATAGGGAAATATTGAAAAGACTGATTGATTGTGTCCTGTTTTTGGGTAAACAGGAACTTTCATTTAGGGGACATGATGAAAGCGCCGAGTCCAGAAACAGAGGAAACTACGTGGAGCTTCTTTCTTTGCTTGCTGAGAACAACACAGACTTGCATTACCACCTGTCCACAGACAATAATTCAGGTAGGACTGTGTCGGACATCACTGAAGGCCTAGGTGTGAAATGCACGGCCCGCCACCTACTGTACATGAGTGTGAATCATCATATCATTCCATCTCTTAACTCATGGACGTATCTATGATCTAATCCAAAAATAAAAAACATAATAAATAAAACAAAACAACAATCTATGATCTTTCCTGTTAGATAAATTGTACCTACCCCAGTTTCACTAAAGGTAAACAGTGCCTTTTCTGGTAGCTCTTTCTCCCTCTCCTTTTGTTCCCAAAATACCAACCACACTCCATTCCCTCTCTGCCTCTAAAACGTTATCCTTTAGTTTTTTCCTCTTTCAGCTTTATAGATGTTTCCACATTTTCTTTTACTCCACAGTTCCTACACTTGTCACTGTTACTTTCCCCCATGACATGCAGCGTACCATTCAATGCTGTGTGATTCATTCTGAGTCGAGCTATCATCATTTCCTCCCTTCTGTTTCTGTCTTTATAAATGCTGGTCTGCTGGCATACCAGCAGACCAGCATTTATCCATCACCAGCTTATGTTAGTATTAAATATACAATGTATTCTGGTAACTATCAAAATAAAGACATTGTATAGTGTTCATAAAAGTATTTTTATTTAATAAATTATACTTAATACAATAATATTACAAAAAAAAACCTACATCTAAATAAATATATCATCTAAAAAAAGATGCATTTGATTTAAAAATAACAAATATAATTCAAAATGTAAACAAAGAAATTATAAACATTTTTTTTCTTTTTCTTGTTAATATCCATTATCTTCTCTGTTATGTATCTTCCGGTCTTTGCCAATCTGGCCAGCATTTCTTGGTCCCTCCACGTCTTTCTCGTGCAGCCACTGCTTGAAGCAAACTGAAAATAAGAAACAACAATGTTTTAACAAATCGTATTCAATAATGTGATGATAGAACTGCAAACAGAATAGCTGAAACTTTAACAAACTAAATAACTCAGTTCCCTCTAATCATTAACCCATGTTTGTATAATGTAGTTAACTCTGGGTGTTGCTGCTAGCATACATTAACATACCTGACGTGGAACGTTACTCGTGGATGGGGCTACAGAGCTGCTAGAAAGACAGTGGAACCCGGTGCATTCCTCCGTCTGAATGTGGAGCTCTTTTGATAAATGTTTAGACAAATAGCTCGTGTTACCGACCCCCTCACATGCTAAATTCTTATTGCACTTTAGGGTAACGAGCATTTTCCACCTCAAGACCAAGCCCCCAGGAAGTGTGCCGGACTCTGAGGAAAATATTCGTTGTGTCCAAACGGCGGTACTACAATTTCTTTATCAGTCTGTGACGTCGACCGGCCCAGAAATACTTTTCCCATTGACTAACATTGGGAAAGAGACGTCTGTAAATCGGTGGATAATTTTTTAAACTAAATAAACTACCCAGTATGAACTATTGTATAGCCCTAGAATCATTAAGTCCTTAAAGTTGTAAAATGCACTAAAAGCCGAATCTAGATTTATTCTCTCTCTCCATTCTTTCTAGCGAGTCGAGAGTGGGAGCTCGGGGGGCGGGGCTTAAGGGGCACATGCTCTGTGAGCTACATACGGGCACTTTGCTCTGACAGCCAGGCATGATGGGTAATCTGTGACGTTTTGCTCTCTCAAAAGTTGGGCATTTTGTCCTCATGCGCCAATGAGCAGCTCTCATAGGAAAGAACGAGACCCCGCAATCCGACGTTGTATCCAGTTTTTATATACATCCATGCTCAAGACGGGTAACATAACTACCCTCGGGGCGCTTGTTCTCTCCGCCATGTGTTTGTGCGCGCGTGCGTGTGTTGGTGTGTGTGCGTGCGTGTGTGTGTGTGTTGCATACATGTAGCAGGTTCTGTGTGTAAACTGCCCCACCCCCTCGCACACCGACAGGGGAGAGAGATCTCTCGTCTGGATTGGAAAGATCGAAGATAAATCAGAGACGCACTTTGTGGTCTTATTGCATATTAGAAACGGAGTTGGCGACTGTAAGACTGCGATATAAGGTTTATGTAGATATAATACATATGACATCTATTATTGAAATGTCTCCAGTACCGATAAAAAGATCGATAATGTTGGACATTAACGGTATCACGGTCTTTAATATTTCAGCCCCAGGGCCACGTTAATACTGGGGCTCGGTACCCATCAATATTACATTTCAAATAACCAAGTACTTGGTTACCAACACAAAGCGCAAGTGGCTCGTGCTGCTAAGAACATACCTGGTGATGGTGATGATGGTGGCTCTTCGCTGCAGGATCTGGTTGATGTCCTCCTTGCAGAGCGGTTGCCTTCGTCGTTCTCGTCCATAGATTGGCGGCGTAGGCTCCTTTCCTCAGCAGGTCCTCGATCTCCTTCTTGGAGAATTGCTGGACCGGCTAAAGGCGACGCAGAGAGACATTTACACAAGTGGATTTAGAAAACTCTTTTTTGAAAATAAAACCAAGCGTACTGCAACAGCGACTGACCCAAAGATGACTTGGCATCTAGAAATATGACAGATTTTCTTTTTCTCACCCCGTTGTTGTTGCCACTCGTGCTCTGCAGGACGGGACGGTCCAGCCCGAGCTTCAGACTAGCTTTATCCAGCATTTCCCCTCTCATAGTTTCTAGTGATCAGACGGTACACCTCCACCGCCTTAGACTGGCCAAAGAGCATCATGTGCAGCTGCTGTTCAACGTTTTTAAGCATTAAATGGGAAAATAATTACACTTAAAGAACCGAGGGAATAAACGGAAATGACTGTTGTTGTTGTAGCCCTATTGAACTATCTTTAGGACAGACAGAGCAGATATATATATATATATATATATATTGTACCTGCAGGTCATTTTGAGAGTAACTTCCAGTCAGAGTGGAATATCACACAGGTGTCTGCAGCAGTGAGGTTCACAAGCTCTTGATCAGGTGTTTGATGTGGGGCTGGCATGATCCTTTCTGCAGCGATGAATAAAGAAAACAAAGAAGACATTATTCATAATAGTAACAACAATAATATTAGTATAACTATTTATATAGCACTTACACAATAATTGCAAAGTGATTCTCACAACAAAAATAAAGAACAAAACAATATCAACAATAAAAAAAACTAATGATTATAGGAATGTTAAGATACAAAGAAATGATAAACATTCTGAGAGGCCGACTACAAAGGCAGCCTCAATGGCTCTTGATGACATCAATGA